GCACACTCATGTCTCTCTCTGCCGCGTGATGTCCGTCTCCTCCAGGAAAAAAAATAATATAGTAAGAAATATAGGAAAGAATAGTTGAAAAAAAGATGAGAGAGAGAGAAGGAAGTTATAGTAAGAAAATATTAATAAGAAATAAACAGAAACAAAAACCTTCACCAAAAATATGAAAGAACCAGGATTCTGGTGTGTATGGCGTTTAGTTAATTAGTGATTGCGGCACAAAATTTTGGTTATTGATCATGCGTTGTTCTGTTCGCACACGCTATCTTTTAGGGCATTGTAACGTCATAGGCGTAGATAATAAATTGGAATCAGGTATGGGCTTTGCGAGGCAAAAGGATTGGAATTACTGAATACAGTATAAAACTCGTTTAACGGGCCGCACATCATTCAAAATTGGCACTTCTCCGCGGGCCACACAAGTTTTTCCTGAGGGCTGCAGGTTTTACACCCATGGGTTAAAGCAGGGTCGTCTAACCCGTGGCCCGCCGAGGAGTTTTGAGTGGCCCGCGCTGTATTTTCGGAATTAAATGAAAGTAAAATTGAGTAAAACTTATATTTTTCGAGTGATGTAGTTAATATAGGGTTTTGATACAAACAATTTGTTCATTTTTCTGAAATTCGCTCTGCTAGCCCTTTCAAACGAGCCATGAGTGCCATTTGGATTCGAAACCAACTGGAAGATATCAATACATAAATAGTCGCTTATACACTTGGACAGAATGGCAGTTTTAATGACTTCAATATTTGGCAGCACTTACTTGTACAAGCAAGTTTTTTAACAGATAAACCATGTCAAATCCCCTGTGAGATCACTAATTTCTGACAGTCATATGGAAAATTCGCTTGGCATTGCTACATCGTCCATTTCAGCAAATATTGACAAACTTGTTAGCGAAAAACAGTGCCAAACTTCACACTAAAATAGCTACGTGTAGAAAAGCTTTGTTGACTTCACTGTATCATCGTTTTTATTGTTCTTATTATTGAGAAAGTTTGGTGCGATTTTTTTTTTTTATTAACTTTTAGTCAGTGTAGCAAAACTAGAACATAATTACTATGTTAAGTGGCCCGCGCAATTATTAGTGAACAAAATGTGGCCCGTCGGCCAAAAAGGTTGGCCGACCTTGGGTTAAAGCATTGCCATCACATGTTCGGCATCTCTGGTTGAAACAATATGCTCACCCCTTCAGTGTATAACAAATCCAGCAGGCGATGACAAACCCAAAAGATTCCGTCCCTTTCAAAAATATTAGCTCCTTGCATATCAGTGGACGCTTGGACATGTCCTTGTTCGTGGCGAATAACCGTCGTATAAAAAAATTCATTGCAATATATCAATATTCGTTATCCCACATGTGTTCTGTTGGAAGGTTAAGTTTTGTGGGCTTGACGGTTAGTTGATCGTCCATGTATCGTTCGTTGGAGCAATGACCATTGGTTGGAGTAGCGTGAAGTAGCGCGTCGTAACTTTCCCCGGATTGATACACGCCTTGATCAATTATGTGACGACACGACGAGGAATTAAAGATAAACGTTTTCTAACAAATTTATTGGGGATACATAGATATATTTTGAACAAACAAACATAATTAAAAAATGCCTTTCAGTGTGAAGGGAACCTCGATATACCAGTGATGGTTATCGAGCAGCGTCACCTATACCTTTTACACAGGTAATCACATTTTTCACGAAATATAAAAATTGAGGTCATTTACATTTGTAAATGAAAAATCGTTCACATAATGAAACACAGTTTACGGTAATACCTTGGTTTGGTCAATGAAATGTCCAACCCTTAAAATTTATCCACTTGTCAAATTGACGTTTAATCCATATTCCACAGTTAGGACTTGGTGTTTATTTATTTCATAAACAGTAATATGAAATTTGTGGATATTGCACTGAGAGCAAATTTCACAAGAAAGAGCGAAGTCGTGACCTATTTATGAACACATTGAACTGTGCCAAAAATCAGAGTGCATGTTGCGCGTGTCACTAGCTAATGATACATAAACGATTGAGGAGGGAGAAAGGGAAGAGTTCAATAAGAAGGAATATATCATGAAGTTTGGAATCCACTGTTCTAAAACTTACCCTATAGCCTTTGTATTTCAAGTGAGACCCACGGAATTGCAACATTGCACCTCTGATTGACCTGCGGGTTTGCAGGTCCATGCGAAGTCATGGACCTTTCCCCGAGCATCGACTCCCTTGTTTACTTCGTGACATTGGCCAATCAGCAAATTGAAAAAAGTGACGTAACAATGCTCCCTTTTCGCATCCGCTCAGACACTTTTCTCACTCAGACAGATTTTCAAGCGTGGTCGTAAACATTACCTCGTTTTCGCATTTTTGAACTCTATTCGTTAGTTTTCAGTTGTGTTTTGGAAACTTAAACGTAAATCAGATAATTCAATGGCCACCCTGTCTTCCTAGGAGTTTTAATTTAATTGCGGTAATGAAAATTAATGTAGAAATAGCTGTGATAGACTAGGCTACAATTCTTTAACGGTACTTTTAAAAAACAGATTGTTGTATGCGATGAATCATAATGATGGTTTGAAACACATACCCCATTTCACAGGCGCCAGCTCGCAAAAGCACTCTTAAAATAGCCCCGAAAATTTTGCAATGATAAAGTATAGAAAGAATTTTTCGGGGGTCAAAGATCGGGGAAAGGTCCATTGCAAGTCCATGTTCCAAAAAACAAATAACTGGCCAACTAATTCCATATCCGACTTGTAACCGGACGACCCGATCCAGGATCAAATCCTGTGGAGGGTAATTATAAGTGCGAGGGAATTGTTTTACTGCCGTCTTCGTATGGATCGGTGCCCCACAAACTGAAGCATATTACTGACATTGCTCTCTTGTTTTTACTGTCCTCATTTAACGGCACCATATGTATTCGTGTTCATGGTTCCGACTTCGGATAAATAACAAAACCAATCGATGAAGTCTCTCTCAGCCGGACTAATATTTATGACTCCATACAGCACTGCCATCTTGTTTTTTGTTGTGCAGCCATTGCTGCATTGCGTGAATTGATGCGAATTGTTTCCGTTCCAAATTTGCATTTCTTTAAAAGCAACGAAAGGCATACGTAACGAATTTAGTTATAGGACTAATACATTAACAGAAGAACTGTCTGACAGTGCTTCATTGGGCTAGAGTAACTTTGGTGTCTGAGTACCTGCATACTGACTACTGGACTGCAGACATCTGGTCCTGGACATACTGACATATCTGCATATTACAGACATAGCAGATCAATCAATCAATCAATCATTTATTACAGATTTGAGAGAAGAAAGAGATCTGTAGACTAGATCATAGGTTCTCAAAGTGCTCCGTACGGAGCCCCAGGGCTCCGCGAGAGAAACCCAGGGGCTCCGCGAGCTATTCGATTACTTTTCAAAATACTGACTAATTTTGTAACTGTTCAACGAAAACCATAACAGCTTTGATGAAATCTGACAACAATATAGCCTCAAAATATGGCAAAGAGGCGGAATTTAAAAATGACATTATTTATAAGCAGGAGCGCAGCCGGGATTCTTAAGAGGGAGGTGGTTCAAAATTGAAATCAGAAATTTCCGCGCAACATTCTTCGCGATTAAAAAAACGTATAACGAGATTTCTGTTGCGTAAACTATTCAATCCATGACCGATGCTAGCATTTAACGTGTCTTGTCGTTATAATGTAATTGTGCTCATCTTTACTCGCGTTTGATTCGAGATTACTATTAGGATTACTAAAATGAAAGAATACTTTTCTAAAATAACATTAAATATGTGATAAACTGCCAACTATAAATAAATTAGAGTCGTATTTTTGTGATCTTGGGATTTGTCAAACTTGATTTGTTCTTTTGCATTTGAGATTATTCTCAATTAAGCAAGATATCGCCGTTTAAAATATCACAAGTAGCACAAGTATCACAATTGCGTGCGGCTCCGTCGGTAGTTTCAAAATGGGAAAAAAAGGTTCTCCCGCGCGCACAATTGACTGTGTTTCGATTTCGCTGTTACTTCGATGAAAACCTAACATAACACCAAATTTTGTGATTTACAATGTCTATAAAAGCGTTTTCAATCCTAGGTGAGTCTGCCGAAATCAAACGCGTGATCTTCCATTTTAAGTTTTAATTTTAATATTTTAGAATGCCGCTTTTCAATCAAGAAATTTGAGTTGCGGATTTACCTCTTTTTTAATTATAATTTTTAGCAATTCGCCGCCGATGACTATGATATGGTAACATGTTTTTCACATTGAACTCAAAATTCCACGAGAACAAAAAAAGCAATTAACGTCGTCATTGTGTAACAATACATGTATATGCCGAAGCAAATTTTTGATTTAGGGGCAATAAACACCGGCGTAAAGATGTTCAAAGGTTCAAAAACACGCCATGCTGAGGAAAAAAATCGGCGATTGCAACAAAATGCAATCGCACACATTATTAGCGGTCTTTTAAGTCTTCCAAAAATGTCAAAAGGGAAAAGATTCGACCCCTAACTTATTAGTATGTTTGTCAAGTGTCAAATTTACAGCTTTAGTATATATAATTTATGTTTGAAATTTAGATTTATTTATGACTTGTATTAATTAACCCTATTAAAAAAGGTTCAGCATTTAAATTGAGTAAAGTACTTTTAAATTGCTCAGGAATATAAATCTGGAAGTAACAATTTCAACATTTATTTTGGGGCTCCGTGAATAATAGTCAACCTTTTCAAGGGCTCCGCGACACCAAAAGTTTGAGAACCCCTGGACTAGATGGTGCAAAACAAATGAAAACTGTTAGAGTGTGCGAAATAATTGAATTGTGTTTTTAAATTTGCTGTTCAATGCTGTTTTTCTTTTGTGTTTCGTACAGTTTTCAGCAAGAAGCAAGAGTCTTCTGATCTTGGGTTGATATGTTTTGATAAACAAGCCATTTCAGCATTTTTCGGATATGTTGATAAATTTCATTTTTGCATTTTACAGACACTACTGATATTCAATTATTAAAATGGAAACAATACCATTAATTAGTCAGGACGTAGTCCGAAAAAATTTGAAATATTCGGAACTAATACCAGCTGTTCGACAAGCTCTTGAGGAATATACATTAAATCGAGCTAGTCAACCATTACGAGTTTCAGTACCAGTCGGCGATACGAACGGCACTTTTCTAGCGATGCCGAGCTACAGCACCTCTAGTGACACTCTCGTAACAAAGCTGGTGTCTATGTATCCTGATAACGCTAAGAAAAATCTTCCGACTCATATCTGTTATATCACTTTGTTTGACCCAGATACTGGAGCCCTGGCTTGTTTGATGGACGGAGAATTGATAACTGCAATGCGAACTGCTGCTGCTTCTGTTGTAGCTACTCAGGTAAATCCTGCAGTTTATTTGAATCTGTAGTTAAAATTATAGGTAGTGGAAACGAAGTGTTAATCGGGTCTCGTGTAGTTTTGCATAACAATTTATTCATAATATGTCAATCCTAACCCCCATCTGACTACGCCATCCAAAAATTACGTCACTGCGACATCACAATTATGTCATAGAGCTTTCCAAATATACGTACGATCGCCCGAAATGGCATTGGCGCCTACGATAAAGAACTGACTGACGTTATCGATCTCACTCCTATTGGAATCGTTGGGACGAGAAAACGAGAGAAATAACTGTTCGATTTCCGGTGCTCGTTTGCGCATCTCGGATTGCAGTTCGTATAGTTTGAAGGGCTCTATTATGTCACTGTGATGTCGTAATGACGTAATTTTTGGATGGTGTAGTCAGGTGGGGGTTAGGATTGATACGTAAGTTGTCATGCTATGCCCACTAGAAGTATGTTAGGTACGAAACTACATGAGACCCGTATTGATCCACCGGTTCTCAAGCAGTGGGCCGCAGTAATACCTTCAGATAGGCCACAAACCTACTAAAATTGCTTATTGATAAATAGTAGTAGCTATGAATGATGTTGTTTTTGCTACTAAGTGGTAATTTTCATTTTAATGATAGTGGAAGGTTTTTTTTGCGAAATAATTTAATATTTTTCTTGTAGTTTTTTTCCCTTGCAAGATAATGGGCCACATAATTTTTGTTGAACAAAAGTGGGCTACGATACAAAAGAGGTTGAGAACCACTGTATCAATCATAGCAGAATTCCCTGATGTGACAGTTGCACACCTATAGTGCTATAGTGTTCTCAAATAAATGGGACCAAATTTTATAAATTATTATAAATTACCATATATTTTAGAATGTATTTTAGAATGTATTTAGAATATTACATTATTAGGCTTTTAGAGAAAATTGTTATTATGCATGTATATTTATGTTTCAGGCAATTGTATCTGAGACACCAAAGACTATTGCCGTTCTTGGATCCGGTGTGCAAGCTAGGAGTCATATTCTTGCCTTCAACGAAACATATAAACTCGAAAAAATGAAGATTTGGAGTCGTAACCATGACAACGCACAAAAATTATGCGAAGAATTGAAAGATTTACCATTGCAGAATTGCAAAAGTGTTGAGGAGGCCGTCTGTGACAGTGACGTTGTTATAACAGTAACTTCAGCCACAGAGACCGTTCTTTTCGAAAAATGGTTGAAACCTGGATGCCATATCAACTGCGTTGGAGCGTGTCGTCCTACCTGGCGCGAATGCGACGATGAATGTATGCAAAATTCTACAGTGTATGTTGACAGCCGTGAATCCGCAGAAAACGAGTCTGGAGACGTCATTCTCTCAAAATGTGACGTCTACGCAGAAATTGGGGAAATTTTGTTGAAACAAAAACCTGTTCAACAAGGGAAATTTACTTTCTTCAAATCTCTAGGAATTGGACTACAGGATGCGGCTGCAGCTAAATTAGTTTGGGATAATTGCAAACATGAAACTGATATACAATAATAATTCTAAAACTTATTGGCTTGGTTTACTCTATAGTACAATTCTGACTCTTTTACTTTCCACTAGAAGGAATTATTGGAATGTGACTTGAAAAGAATAATCTCAAATAATAGGGCAAGCATGGAGGCTGCCATTTTCAAATTTCTTGTTCCTTTATTTAGGCCAAATCATACTTGTCATAAAAAATAACTTCTGAGACGAAAATGTAAAATTATAAAATTAATTCAAACAGCATTTCTCTTGTGAGTACACTGGCCCAATGCAGCATATACAGGGTGTCCATAAAGTTCCTTCGTAATTTCAGTTTTGTTATTAAGTCAGTTCTCAATATTTCTTAATTCCTAGCCAGGTTTTTTGATTTTTAATCAGTAATTGTTAAAGTATTTTTACTTCATTTAATACATCTGTGAGGGCGAAAACAATATATGGTATCGATAAATTCTCTTTGCAATTTTAAAAAATTTCAAGACTTTAAGGACACACTATATATTGCGAAGACATATTTATGAAACTTTTCTATAATGTATTTGAAAGATCAAATTATTCGATTTGGCCACCCCGGGCTGTCATATCACACTTATTTGTTTTCCGTGTTAGTTTGAGTTTATTTTTTTTTTGAGGTGTGTGGTTAGCGTAGTTGTGATGGTAATGGTAATAAAATGAAATTGAGTATTTATTCACATCAGGGTTGTACAACCTGCGACCCACAGGCCAAATGCAAAATTTTTGTGTCTGCAACTACCAGAAATCCTATGTAAAATGAAGGTTCGGCCCATGGTTTCACCAGACTATTTGTATCAGACCCTTCTGTATAAAAGGTTGCACACCCCTGATTCACATCCAAGATTCAATAACACAGTAAATTCTTAGATCAAGGAAATATTTAATTCATGATAAACAGATTTCTCCTTGCATAATAGGCAATGTGCATTTTAGCACCCAGATTGCCAGACTTTTTTAATGGCCATACATGATACGCATTTCCGTTTTCTCTTGCCTTGCGGCGTTTTTTTTTTTTCGTTATACGGTACTTCTTCATATTTAGGCTCATTCAGTGTCTATCTTTATTAACATTTATACTGAATATCCTGTTATTCTCTCATTGAAATTCAAAGAACTGATATATTGAAACAATGTATGCTTTATACCACTCACCTTTCCCAATTGGATTTGGCTGATGTCCTCTTAATAGGGCAATAACCCCCAGATATACACTCTTAAAAGGCATATTTACCAAAATACTCCATTAAAATGTTACAGAAGTTTGAAAATGAAGAATTTTATTTCCCTAATTTTCTCAAAACATCATTTAAGTTTCGTTCTTTTCAAGTCCATGCCTCTTAAATGAATAACTGACTAACTAATTAATATGCACATCCCATCCTTGTGTTATTATTGCTCCCTCATTGAAATCCCAGTAATTGTGGACATTTTTTTATTCTTTTTACAATTAATATCATTATCTTCATATATTTTCACTAGATTTAGAGGAATTCTATCTCGCATTTAAACATTTAGAATAAATTTTAATCAAACCTCAGTATATGCGAAAATTTTCTATTTTAGCCCCATATTTTCTCTAGATTTAAGGAATTCTATTTTGCATTTAAATATTTAGAATAAATTTTAATCAAACCTCAGTATATGCGGAAATTTTCTTGTTTTGCCTCATATTTTCTCCAGATTTGGAGGAATTCTATCTAGCATTTAAACATTTAGAATAAATTTCAATCAAACCAAGTATATGCGGAAATTTTCCTGTTTTGCCTCCTATTAATGCATAATGCATTATCCTGAATTCTATGCATTTCTATTAATTGAGTGCAATGTCCGTGATTTAGTTTTTTGTTAAATCCTAGGTTGAGCTTAGTATTTTCTAAATTGTTGCCATTGTTGGAACAAATTTGTTGTTGTGTTTAGCAGTGCAATAAAAAACCTAATTTCACATCCCCATTATTGGTGCAACATATTCTGCATTGCTCTCATCGAAATCGTGTTTTGGAATCAGCTTTCTTTAATATTGTTTCTAAATTCAGTGTTCAATAATAGCCTAGTTATATTAATTACAAATTTATGACTTAAAATTGCGTCTCCTATGGATAAAACATGGCGGATGCTACATTGAAATCCTAATTGGATTTCTTTATCTTGCCTTTTAATTCTAGTAACAGTACAATATTTATGTTAGTTACAACTGATATCTTAAAAGTGAGTCTCGAATGCACATGGTGGAATACATTGAAATGGATACACTAGAATTCAAATAAATTTCTCTTACCCTGTTTCAGTATAATTCAGTAATATAATAATAGTTATATTAGTTAAAATATAGAACCTAAAATTCCGTGTTTCGAATGGACAAAACATGGCGGATGCTGAATATATCGAAATAACGTCCAGTGAAATATCTGCAGCTAAAAAAGATTTGGATGAACCAGAAAAAGTGGCAAGTGATGCAACAAGCAGTGATGACACTTCTCAGGTACTTTTCATATGACGTTATATTAATATATCTCACGCCAAACCAAGCTTTGTATGAACAGTTACCAATGGGTGAGAAGCCAAGATTGTAGCCAGTCCCCCAAAAAAAACTTATGCCTTTTTCTATAAACAAGGGTAGATAAAAGCAGCCATTGATATTTAACAATATCTTGAAGAATCTCTCTACTTCGATGTCGAAGTTATTCACGCTACACAAGCGCGCACTTTTATTCATCTTGGTTGGTTCCTTTGGAGAAAAGATTATTGATAGCATTCCAGGAAACGTCGTTCCGCAGTTTCATTTATCTTGGTTTGTTCATTCGGTGAAAAGATTATTGATAGCATTCCAGGAAACGTCCCGTTTTCAGTAAATCGTTTGAGATTACAGCAAAATGCGGTTAAAAGGGCATAAAAATCTCGTCTCACTGCAAATGCTGCAAAACCGCATTAAAAAAAATCAGGCCATCAGGTGCCTTGGGCTAGGCCTGCACAAAATTGGAATCAGTTGAGCATGACCAAACGGAATAATGCTGTCCAGCATCAAAGCATTTATTTATGCTGCCATTTATTGCTCCAATGACACTCACCTTGAAGTAAAAGTAGCTATGATTCTAACTCATGAGGATCAAAATTTACAGTAAATTTTGACATTTTTTATGTTTCAGGATATAGAAATCATTGAAAATGTGCCCTCAGAAAATGATGATTCATCGAATGGGAGTAACAACATTACTGCTGAGTCAGAAACCATCGTTACACCGGGAAATAATGGAATCTCAAGCTCACGGCCGGATTCAATGGCTTACATAGAATCCAATGAAGTTGCCACTGAGAAAGTAGGAGAAGAAAACGAAACAGAGAAGGCTGAGCAAGATATTGGTAAATACTAGGGCAGAGGTGGGCTGGATCATGGGCAGGCTCATGCCCACTTGTGCCTGCTGAAATTACAACTGTGGTCTTATAAATAAACATCTGCTGAAAATATCGAGGAAAATAAAGAATGCAATTATTCCATGAAGGGTTTAAAACCACTGCTTTGGACATTATGCAAACGTGCCCACAAAGTTATTTATTTACTTTTGCTATACTTATGAAAATTTCAATACTAAATTAATTCCAGCCAGTCATTCGCTGTTACTTACACCGGGATGTAGATATTTATTGATAAGACGATAATTGACTTCCTTATGCTTCCTGTGTTATTTCGTATCAGATAGATAAACCTTGCAAATATGCGATTGCGTTAATCCTGAATGTTGATTCAAATAGTGATTGAATAAATTGGCAAGAAAGGCATTTTTACGTGATTATAAGGCTTTTGTGCCTAATAGAAGATCAGACTCAAATATAACTCTAATTATAACTCATTCCCTCAAGTTTTGACTTGTTTTTCAACAAAGCAATACCCCGAAAGTTATTATAGCAATATTCGTTACCGAGTAATTCACAATTTTATTTACGGAATTTGCAATTTCAACACCTCACTTGACGATTTTGATGTCATGCCCTAATTATTACTGCTAAAATGCCTCAAAATCATTTTCGACGATAACAGGCGTAACAATTCGTAAGCGAGCCAGCTATTTTTGCTATAATTATGAAAAATTCAATACTAAATTAATTCTATCCAGTCATTGACCTGTTACTTTGGGGCTCATAATTATAGCAATCCAAAGTCATTGCCTAATATCGATCGACTAAAAATATATTTACATCTTAGGGCAAGAAAATAAAGTTTTTCCTGAGGAATCAAACGCAATTAAAGATGTCAATGTTACACATAATGAACCAGAAGTGCAACCAGCAGGTTAGTACTTAGGTACATAATTTTGTAATTTTTTTATGTTTTTGTTTCTTTCAATGTTTTATCTTAATACAAACCAATCGTCCTAACACTACCAAATACAGCGAATTCGGTTACCAGTACATGTCAGGTATTGGATTAGTTAGCCAGTCATTTGTTTCAGATGCATGGACTTACGGTAATGGTGGAGGAAGCCGTAATTAACCAGCGGTTACGTGACCTTCTTGCACATAATTATCCCAACAGGATTCGAACCTATAAACTCAAGCAGTGCAAATAAGAGGCGCGGTGGTGAGCACATTCCTAACGCTTGGCATGATGCGCCACACCGCCATGCCAATTCAATTCCCTATGAAAAGCAAAATGAGATTTGCTTAAAGCAAGGTCAAGCATATTCACTCACAGACGAAGAAGACAAGTGAAGTTTTGGCATCGCTAAGTCTGCTTAAATAAAATCAGGATGTTATGTTACGCGCCCATAATACTAATTGACTTAAGACTTTTAAGATGTTCATGCCAATGCAATCAGTAAACAGTTATGAGATGTCAAATTTCACTGAGTTCTTTGAAATTACCAAGTTGGGATTGTTTTTGTCAATTCCTATCATAGCAAACATAATCTACATTGATTCTAAAAGTATGATGTATAGCGCTCAAAATGCTGATTGGCACGAGTCTTGTGAACAATATACAACCCATTACCAAATCTGATATTTTGTACTTCATCAAACTTCTGTTACAGCAGGCGATGCTGAAACATTTGAAGTTATTCATGGTGTTGAAGAGCAAACAAAAGAAAACGAGGAGGAAAAGAAAGCTGATGAGAATAAGGAGAATGAACCAACTGAAACTATACCAGGTTTGTCTAGAAAGCCAAATTGGATTCTTGCTGTACATTAGTTGGCCTTGAGCAGTGGTTTCCATTCTTTATTGTTACATTCCACCCTTTGCCAGTTTTGATTTCTTATTCTTCCTCCGATAAAACATATCAAATACACAGTTATTATAAATAATGTGCCGTAGTTCTGGAGCGAACACTTAGAGCTTTTTTGTTTCATCACCATGCATAAAAACTCTGTTTTCGTTTTTGTTCAATCTTTAATGGGTTATTACATAGTGATATATCATATGCAACCCATACTCGGGCTACTTGGAAAAAGCAATCCAGCTACAAGTTCCTCTCTTTCCCTTGAAAGAAGGAATTGTAAAATGCTAGCTTATTGGTTGAGGGATTGTACTGTTAACTCAGTATAAACGTATATTTAATAAGTGTCCAGAACAATAACCAAAGCAAACCATAGGTCACATCAGGAATGGCCATCAATTTCCAACATTTTTTTAATGCAATTTTGCAGCAGTTGCAGTAGGTCATTAATTGATACCCCTTTTCAAACACCATTTTACTCTATTCTTGAATGATTTACCTAAAACCGGACGTGACATCAGAATAGTTCATTCCTTAACCACCGGGCCCTATTGCATCACAACCAGAGTCAATCAAGGCAATATAGTATTTCGTTTATTACAGAAGACAAGCCAACCTCACCGTTTCATCGTTTTCGATCGTTCAAGAGACAAGAAAAGAAGGATCAGGCCCCGCAAGGAAGTTCAATCACTCTGCCTTCCATATTCAGCGATATTTCTACTTCATTTATGTCTTTAAAAAATATCGGGAAACGAAAGGATTTAAATATAGGTGGGTTTTATTTTTTATACAATGCTTGTTCTCATGTTTTCCTCCTAGCAAGGTCATGTACAAACATCCAATGATATCTAACACGAGAATTTCGGTCAGAGACCGAAGACTTATGGATCGAAAGTTAGGGGATCCCTCCAAAACAGCGCTCTTACTCCATAGTGACACCTTGTGTTCCATCACTAATTAATTAATAACTCGCTAATTATACTACTATATTGTACTACATAATTCATCCAAGATCAATAGGCTTGTGGTACGACATATGATGAATGCACATGCAAGATTCAATCTCGCTTTCATGAGATGTCGCGTGCATCTAACAGACAGACATACAGTCAAATATCTATCAGCATACTTACCGATTAAAATCCATAAGTAACAATATGTAATGAGCTAATATTATATTTGAAAAGACCTGAATTTTTCCAGTGGGTCATTATTTTCATTAGCAAGACCAAATGTTCTAAAATTGTCAGTTGTCATACATCAGTGGTTCTCAACAGAGGAGCTCTTCAAGTATTACATGAGCAGCTCTGATTTACTAAAACAATTATCGTTTGAGTTGGCTAAAATATGCTGTTTTTTTTTTATCGTCTATACTGTATGTATTTGCTGAGCTGTATTTATAGCGCTACCAATCCTTCGTTTAGACATCGTCCTTGTTAGTTTTGCTTGTTAGGTCACAAAGAATGTCGTGCCACATTATAAAATAGGGTATAAAACAGTAACGAGAATATCGGTTGGAGACCGAAGACTTATCGATCGAAACTGCGGCTTCGATTCATGACTCTATAGTGACACCGTGTGTCACATCACTAATTACTTAATAACTCGCTAATTATACGACATAATTCATCCAAAATCAATAGGCTTCTGGTCTGAGATATGATGAATGCACATGCAATTAAGAACAGATTCAACCTCGCTTTCGTGAGATATCGCGTGCATCTAACAGACTGACAGACAAACAAACAAATACCTATCAACATACTTACCGATCAAGATTGATAAGTAATGAGGTACTCGGCCAGTTGAGAACCATCATTGTAGATAGAAGCGTTTCCAAAAAAGGCTGCTATTTTTATATTTTTACAAATTTTTATGGGTCACTCTCTGGTCTTTTTTTTAAATATTTATGAACCCCATTGGGCCATTTGTTTCACCCTTTTATTTTCTGTAATTTAGAATCATGAATAATTTTTTAATTGCGTCATCGCATCTTTTTTTTTACTAATTGCCGAAGGCGAACTTGTGCTGGATGAATGACTTAATAATATATTACAGCATTATTTCTACTCAAATATTTGTATCTCCCTTTCTTTTTGTTTATGAAGTGAGGTAATCAGGTCATTAATAATAGATGAATTTGAATTTTTCCAGAAACAAAAATTAAATTTTACCTTTCATTAGACATTCTTGCATCGATCCGCTTTGAACCATCTGTTGCTGGTCTGAACCGGTTTAAACTGGTTTAGGTGCATGTTGAGCAGCCCAAGCGTGCATTCATGAATTATTTAAAACCCGGACGGAATCTTTCTTATCAAATTTTTGAGGCTATGTTAGTTTGTTGAAGTGCAGAAAGGCAAGGCTGTTTAGGTGTAGTGATGGCCTGATGGGTAGAATGATCGTATTTTGTTAAAAAAAAATTATGATTAAAAATGAGAATTATGAAAATTATTCTGATCATATTGTATGTACTGTACTGTTTTTGTTTTGTTTAGTTTAGAGTTGTTTTAGTTATTTAATTATCTTGCTTTGTAAGCTTCTGTTCTGGAAAGATAGAAGCAGTTTATGGTTAAATATAGTGCTTCCTAACCAGGACTTCATGGGCCAGATTTTTGTGAGCTTTCCATACCCTGACATACTACTTGTCCTTGTGGTCCTTCTTGCATATCATGACAAATTAAAATTAATACTCTACGTGGGAAACACAAGATCTTGCTAATATAAAAAAATGTTTTAGTGCACAAATCATTTGTCATTTATGGAATGTTTGACTATGGAATCTCATCTAATCTCACAAGATTATGATAGAACTCATTTTATGTAATCGGTTTCTGTTTTCAGTATTCAGATAGTGCCAGTCAATGTGACAGATAAAAAATTCAATCCAAGCGGCTAGCGCCCATTTTTAATATCTGCATTGCAGTTTTAGTATTATATTTTATATTTCTAAACCATATTTTATATCTTCACTTATAGTTTATGTATGTTGTATATTTCATATTATGTTATTTCATATTGTCATGTGAGCGTGGGATCCAAGAAAGCCTGAAACCCAATACCCAGTATTGAAATATATTTGTAATCTGTTGTCCAAGTAGTTATATTGTTTCGTCGAGAATATCGTTTTTTGCAACGTACTTGCTGTTGGTGTAAAGTTCCATTTGCAAAGTTCATTATATCAATTGTCAAGAAGTGGAAAAGTTGCACGTATTACTTTGACATTCTATATTAGTAAATTTGCAAGAATATAAAAGTAATTAAATAACATCAAAAGGTTTAAAGGGATTTCTGTTGAACTAGTATCTGAAGTTATCTTCAACATCAGGAAAACTTGGGACATCAATATAACAGTGGTGCCAGCATTTGGAAAGATTCTGAATAAACATCGAGAAAACGTGCGTAAAGCATTCAAGAGCATTCTACATAAATAAACTCAGCAAGCAGAGTATAGAAGTGTTTGAATAACGAGGACATCAAGTGACTCAAAGTTATTTTTGCAAAGACAACAACAAATCACAAAATAGAACAACAAAACTTACAAAATAGAAACGAGCGAAAATAAACTCGTTAACAGCGACTATGCCTATCCGAAGACGTAGACAACTTGTTCAGCAGATGACATCTAGTCCATACAGTGTTCCCATTCAACAAAATAACAACTTTGGGAACAATGGGTCAAAGTTTACCTCAAGAGGGTATCGGAGACAACAAAGACAACGGCATTCATCATGGACTATACAAGAAGATTGCGTAAAAGAGTTTATACCGACTTCCATGAGCGAAAACGGCCCTCATGGCCTCGCCACCGGTGGCTCTTGTATGTCCCTATGTGGCATGTTTGAGGGAGAACCCGACATGACCAGCCCTGGGTATCAGAATCCAGCGAAAAATAAATATGACTCGTCTCCGGGTCAAAGTTTACGACAATTGTCATCACGTTCGAGATGTAATAGTATGCCTGTTGATGTACCGTTGCGGAAAAATGCTGGAAAAACAAAGCGCAGTCGAAATAGTAAAAAATCTCGAAGCAGTGGAGGATACTTTTTTGACAAGTATATAAAGCGTTTCCGAGCGAAACGGTCACAAAGCATTGGCTCAGACGATTCTTCCAGTTCAGATTCGTCTCAAGAAAGCTTAATTGGATCGGAAATGCGGAGTTCTCGTCTTTTTACTAACAATCCTGCTAGTAAGTTTCGAAGCAATCGTCAAGATATGCTAATCATCAGTTCTGGGGTCGAAGGTCAGATCATGTACTGCCCTCTAGATGAGAAATACGATGTATTTAGCAACGAGGAAGTGTGTTGCGATGAATTGTACCCAAAACGTTATGGCACTTCATCAGAATGGTCCTCATGCCCTTTGAACCCGACTATATCTTCAATAAAAACGGAAACACAAGATTATGTTCCATATTCGCCGCAAATTTTACCGTTATACCACGTCCCGGTATCTCCAGTCTCCCCACCGCCTGGCACAATTTTTTCGCCGGTTTATTGGGATGAAAACCCGACAGGATTCCAGGATTATGAAGTTGCAAACACGCCGGTAACAAATCTTTTGTCGGAATTTTATGAAGCTAATCGAGCGAACCATGAAGTTGGCGATGACACACTGAAAGCTTTGGAACAACTGTATTGGTGTAATTTTCGAGTCACATCTGATGGGGATTGGCTCTCATTGAAGGAATTGGAAGGTGTCTTGAATGGCCATTCATTCACATTTTTTCTGTCTTTTCAAATGATTGTCAACTGGGTTCTTTTCAAAAATTAGTTATATTTGATATAGCTTCTTTTCTTTTACTTGTGTTTTGTGGCAGCCATGGCTTTTTCTGTATGTGCAGTTTGAATGGGGACGCAAAAAAGGCGAAAAATTTTATACACAAAATGTTTCAAAATTAAAACGAGAATATCGGTCGGAGACCGAAGACTTATTGATCGGTGGTTAGGGGATCCCCCAAAACAACGCTCTTACTCCACCCATTTGTCATGGGTGCCATTTTACGTAGGTCGGTGCCACAGTGTTCGTCATATATTATTCGTCATGTATTACAAACTTCTCAGAATACATACCGTAGATAGGGTGATCGATAGAAAAGCAGAAAATTTGAAGGTCAGATGAGATTACGAATAAAGTGCGTGCTTACTCGTTTTTTTTTGTATTCCACAAGCTAACCTTCAAACTTCTAGGTTAATAAGACACTGTTCTGCAGTGCATGGGCGACAAATTTTCTGTTTCTCCAGCGACCACCGTATATAGGAAAACCTGGTCCTTACTCTAACTACAAATCCTTCATTTCTTACAGATGACACCCAGCTTCATAACATGAACGATGCCTCAACACCTTCACCGACCAGCTCTACAAGTTCAACAACCATTGAACAGATGAGAATAGAAAGAAAGAACCTTCTAGGTGAGTTTTCACCATGAATAGGGCTCTTGGCAAGTAGTTAGTAGATCAGGAATGTGTAAGGTTTTTGAAACAGGGGCCAAAAATTTTGCTCACCTAGACTGGCGGGCCATATAAGTGTGGCGTAAAAAGTTTAATTTTATGAACATAATTTCACATGGGGAACAAAAGCAAAAATGGAAATAATAAGCCTTTTAATCACAATCCCAACAGATTTCTTCAGTTATTTTTTTAGCTAAGACAACAAATTTTGGTTTTAGTTTGGTTGTGGCAGCATCAGGAAGGCAGACTGAATTACCAATGGGCCAGGTTTGGGACGCAGGCCTGTTTTGCTCATGTCAGTACTGGATTGCTGGGCAAGAGTTCTTAACTTTAGCTTGGCAAATTTTGAAAGTAAAATTTCACTGGAGCCTCGGAAAAGTTTCGGCTTTCAATGGTGCTGTAGCAGTTGTACTCTGGTGGACACGCCCCAAAAGAGGGATGTACACAATTTTATGAGGGGCGTGAAGCTAATTTAAAGAATAGACGCTCCGGAAGTATGCGTACCAAGATGGCGAACACCGGAACGTAGTATGTGTACCAGATTAGGGTTAGGCCATAATTTCAGGTACAAATACTACGGGAGTCACTTGGCTAGTCCCCAAATAGAACTAAAATAGGGAAAATTGAAATAAAATTATGACCTAACCCTAACCTGGCACACATACTACGTTCCGATGTCCGCCATCTTGGTTCACATACTTCGGGAGCGCCAAAGAATATATATGTAATAGATTTGATTTTCCTCGCCTCATTTTGGATATTTATATTTCTTTATTTTGTATATTTACGTTCCATGCACGTAATTTCAACGTCGTTTTTGAATAAAACATACTTTTGCCTTACTCTCACGACTTCAAAAAACTGCCTCATAAAAAGTTGTTCACCATTTCAACTTGTATTCCAGGAATGGCCCGACTGAGCATTAAAGGTTTGATAGAATCTTCATTGAGTGCTGGCCACACCCTCGACAGTGACCACGCCCCCTTACAGCAGTTTTTTATCATCATGGAGGCCGTACTGAAACACGGATTGAAAGGTAACAGCTTATTTTTATTGTTGTGTAGAGGTTAAATTTTCATAATCGTCTCTTAGAGATTTATTGTGCGCCTAACTGCTGTCTTCATTTCTGTGCCTTTATGCCCTAATTAAATAAAATCTATTTAAAATAGTCGGAATTGGAATTTATTGCAAGCTAAAATTCTGGATTCATTTTGTTATGAAGACAGTTCTCAATATATCTTAACCAGGTTTGTTGATTTTAATCAGTAATTGTTCAAGTATTTTTACTTCATTTAATACATCTGTGAGGGCCAAAACAATATACGGTATCAATAAATTCCCTTTGCTATTTTAAAATTTTTTAAGACTTTATAGACACCCTATATATATTTTGATTCTGGCTAAATGTTACAATGTCTAAGGTTCAACTGTTAATACTATTTCAGCTCCAAAACTCTTCACTGGTCATAAACTTTTCTGGGGACCTTTGGAAGCGATTGAAAAAGTTCGAAGTGAAGCCGCAGAGATCACTAACAGTGTCAGAGATTTGCCTGGAATAAAGTAAGTTAGTAGGGTTAGAGCAGTGGTTCTCAACCTGAGGTACATGTTCACGTGGTACGCGAGCAGTTTTGAATTATTGCAACAATTAAACTTTTGAGTTTGCCGAAATATGCCGACAACGCTTCATCTTCCATACTGTATATATATTCGCTGTACGGCCTTTATGCATCTTTTCCCAGGCATTAATTTTCTTGTTTATTTCCATAACCATAACCAATCAACAAAAAGTCAACAATGATGTAACAATTGCTGCGATTTCTGCAGACGCTCAGACACTTCTGTTCCTCAGGCAGATTTTCAAGTATGGTTGTAAAGTAAACATTGCCTCGTTTTTGTAGTTTTGCGGGTTATTCATCAGTTTTCAGTTGTGTTTCGAAAATATAGTTGTGAATTAAATATCTTGATTGTCATTATGTCTTCAAAGGAGCATTAATTTAGTTGCTGTAATCAAAAATGAGTCTCGCAAATGCTGCGATAGACTAGTCTAAACTAAGCTGCCTGTAAGCGTCACATGATTGATTAATTTTTTGAAAATGAGGGTGTCAAACACATAAATAAGCATATAAGCGCCAACACATCAAAACATTCTTAAAATAAGTATAAAATTTTTTGCAATGGTAAAGTATAGAAAGAATTTGTCTGGGGTCAAGGGTCGGTGAAACGCTCTATGAACCAGCCCAGTCTTTAGAGATCGCCCTCGTCTTCTGCTATTGTCCACAAACGAATCGAGATGGGCTTGTTTTTGTCCGTCTTGCGAATTAGGTCACAAAAGATGTAGTGCCACAATATAAAACGCTCTCATAGAACGTGTCTTGTGTAGGGCTGGGCATTTTGAATCGAATATTCGAATCGAATAGTAAATTATTCGAATCGGTTCAGAGCTAAACTTCAAATCGCCGCCATCTTGTTTTTATCTTTCTGCTAATGATTGAGGTGAATTCCCCAAGTTTTTTTCATTGGAGTCATATTTTTTCAACGAAATTCTGACATATGACTATTTCCTGTAGTGAGTTATTCTGTGTGAACGCTCAGTAATCTATCTGAGTGATTTATTCTATGTCTTCAGTAATTCATTTGTTGAGAGGACCAATTACTATAATAAAGTCGCTTACAATTATATATTTTCAAGTATTCGAGATTCGATTCGAAAAAATTATTCGATTTGATTCTGAAATCACAAGGTATTCGAAAATGCCCAGCCCTAGTCTTGTGCCATTGTGCTCCACGCCAAAAAGGTTTTCTTTTTTCGGTGGTACGCGGACAGAGTGAAAATCAGTAAAGTGGCACGCGGTCAGTAAAAGATTGAGAACCACTGGGTGAGAGCATGAGGTGTGCAACAGGCAGCCTCTGGGCCACGTCTGGTGTGCCAAGCCGTTCAGTGACCCATTGACCATAAAATCCGAATTCGACAGGTTTATGTTTAAAAAGGCGCTTACATGGACAGATGGCAACTGTAAGGAATAAAAATAAAGACAAGGATTGACATGCCACACTCTCTTTCAATGGACTTTCTATTAGCTTGACATGTATTTTTAGTATTCAATTCCATCTTTGACCAAGTAAAGCTTTGAAAATGTGATCATTTTACTCGACCATGCATGGGGGGTGGAGTATTAAAATTGCAAACAAGAGAAGAACAAGAATCCTAAATTTTGTTATAACAACGCACACTCACTCTGTTACGACTTGTTGCGCCTGTTATCATTGTAAATGCCTACATTGATTTTCGATCATATTTCATTTTGCCCACCTCTAGTTAAGTCTAACCCTGTAACTGCTAGGCCATTGCACCAATATATTTGCGCACTGCTCTCTTGCTAATAATGACTTGCATTTGTTTTTCACAGGACTCATGCAGGCAGAGCCAGGGCTTGGTTGCGGCTTGCATTGATGCAGAAAAGACTTGCGGATTATTTCAGAACGATGGTTGAAAATAGAGATGCTATGCGGTAGGTGTCACTTTATTTCTGGGTGAAATGTATCAATGAAGGTTTGGGAGCCACCCTTTTAAGTCAAGCCAAAAAAAGTTTTTGTTATCTTAAAGATAGAGTAACATGTCACCATTTTTCTACTTGATTTTAGAATTTTGTGTTTCAGTGGTTGCCCAGAGATAATTCCTTTTTTTGCGATTGCGATTCCATGCTTGCCATCTGAGCCTCTGATTAGTCACATATTCGACTCATCTCTGAGCAAAGTTACCGTCACTCACTCAGGAGTAAAAGAAACTCATCTCTGAGCAGTGTTTCGGGCACTCACTCAGAAGTAAAGGAGACACATTGTTACACATTTCTTATTTAAGTAGCCAATAGCTCACTCAGAGATTGATGGGGGGTGATATATAGCGTTGACAATGCATAACCAGAAATTTACATATTTTCTTCAATTTTTTCAGAGAATTCTATGAGCCAGAATCTTTGGTTCTCTCAGAAGAAGGCGTCGTACTATCTGGTCACCTTGTTGGTTTGAACTGCATTGATGCCAACTTATGTATGAAAGGAGATGACTTGGATAATCAGGTAATTGGGATGTTACATTTAAACCTGTTATTAATTTCTGGCAACACTGTATTCCTAAAATGTGATAATTGAGTCTATTTGGGATGAAAACCTCTGTGCAACCTATATAAATGCATGCCTCATTGTCCTCGCGTCCGGTTATCGGTCTATGATGGGTGTGAGAATAAGTAATAGTTATTCATTGTAAACCAGTGGTGCCCAAAAATGATCGCCAGGGGGCCAAAATTGAAAGCGGTGTAGTTGAATTGTTACGACTAAAACACATGCTTAAACTGTGATAATGATGTAACAATTAGCAGTACCTTGAACGCGAAAATGAAAAAACACGAAGTGTGAGGAGTCCAGCAATTCTCTTGCACTTATTTAACCCTCACAAGATTTGGGCTCGTGAACCGACAGTAATCATTGTACAGAGGTGTAATGACAAACATGTTTTTAACGCTCAGCGCAGGGGTGAGAATAGTTTTTGACCTTTGACCTGGGGCCCTTAGACTGGGGGGCCATGTGAGTGTGACGTAAAAAGTCACATTTTATGAACAATATTTACAGTGCAAAAGTGGAAACAATAAGCCTTGTGCCAAAACTAAATTGAATCAGAATTTCAACAAATTCCTAGAGCTATTTTAAGTTAAAACATCAAAAATTGGTTTTAGTTTGGTTGTGACAGCATCAGGCGGGCTAGATTGAATAACCCAATGAGTCGGATTTGGCCCACGGCTCGTAGTTTGCCCATGTCAGGCTTAGCGCAATGCTCGAATTGTGCGTTCAATATCTTTTTTCTTGTTTTAACTTGTATAATCTTTTTCAGAATGCAGTCATTGACTACAGTTTATACATCAAAGAAGGCAATCGGCCTTCCATCGGCACTGAGATTGAGTTGGCGGAAAAGGAGAGAGAAAAAGAAGAGAATCAGAAAAAAGAAAAACAAGAGAGTCCAGAAGAAATTATGAGAGAAATGGCAGATCAGAAGAATTATTTGGAAGAACGCAACAGGTAGGTTTGGAATGTTTGAGTTTAACATTTCTAGGCACTACGTAACAATGTCTCAATACAACGACGAAGAGTGAGAACCTTGTGCCTATGTTAACAAAAGTAGGCGTTCCAGAAGTGTATGTACCGATATGGAGGTAAAATTGGAATTCCCAAATTATTTAAATTTTGTTGCTGCTCTATCAAACGATCATGGGCTTTAAAGAGATCTTGGCCTGCGACCAGGAATGCACAAAATGACTCGCACATTCAAATTGAAGTTATCGAGTTTTGCGATTGTTTAAGGAGTTTATCCTATTTGCCCAATTTGTTAGGGTAGGCCATAATATTATTCTGATTTTCCTTATTTTACTTCTATCATGAGTTCGGGACTGTCTGTCTTAGCCAAATGAATATACCCTTATGTTGATAGGTATTTGTCTGTCTGTCTGTCTGTTAGATGCACGCGATATCTCACGAAAGCGAGATTGAATCTGCTCCAGATTTTGCATGTGCATTCATCTTATCTCGGACCAGAATCCTATTGATTTTGGGCGAATTATGTCGTATAATTAGCGAGTTATCAATCAATTATTGATATAGTGATCTAGATTTTTGTAAAGCGAGAGAATTTTGAGACCCGCCGAGTGTGTGTGTGCGATGCGCAGTGCGCAAGTTACAAGAGCGGATGAATCGAAACTGCAGTTTCTGTGTTGGGGGATCCCCTAACTATCGATCGATAAGTCTTCGGTTTCCAACCGGTATTCTCGTTTTGGTTTCAGTCCCTTTATACAACTTGATGTAAAGTAGGCAAACGGAATAAGTTACCTCCATATTGGTACACACTTCTGGATTGCCGATGACTTTATGCATGAACAGTCGATTTGAAGCGGCGGTAAATGACTTGAAATGAAATGATGAAAGGCTCTATGATGTCGTTTGGGATTGATATAAAGCTAAATTGTAAACAGTAAACAGTTTGAGTAAACTTTGGAAGGCAAATTTATGATGAAATTGTTGATTTTTGCTTAACATCATTGGGTACTCCCGTAGTATGTGAACCAAGATGGCGGACACCGGAACGTAGAATGTGTACCAGGTTAGGGTTAGACCATAATTTCAGGTACAAATATTACAGGAGTCACTTGGTTAGTCCCCGAACTCGTCATAGAACTAAAATAAGGAAAATTGGAATAAAATTATGGCCTAACCCTAACCTGATACACATACTACGTTCAGGTGCCTACCATCTTGGTGCACATACTACGGGAGTGCATATCATTGTTGACTTGTGTATTCTTCTGACTCAATATTTAATGAATTTTATCTAAATTTAAAATCTGGGGACTCCAGCCCAATACCTGTTACTGTAATATAGTCCTTTACTAACAAAATATACTTGACCTCAGATATCTTGAAACAACTCTGAGTGAACTCCAGAAGAGGGCGGGGCATACAAGCTCATCCAATCAACTTTTAGAGGCAGAGTTGGAAGCGGCAAAACTTACTCTTGCTACAATGAGAGGGGAACGTAAAAAACTTCTTGATGAAAAAGAAACCATGGCTGCCAGTCACAAGAAAACATTGGAGGTAAGATCTGGCTATATTGTTCTTCACCTGCTTGCAATCGCATTTTTAATATATAATATTTTATTAGATTCTAAACGACTGAATATGTGTGATCACTCAGAAGTGGAGGAGGCTCTGAGCAATAAAAAAACGGGGCTCCCGAAGTATGCGAACCCAGATGGCGGACATTGGAATGTAATATGTGTACTAGGTTAGGGTTAGGCTATAATTTTAGGTATAAATACTACGGGAGGCTCTTGGCTAGTCTTCGAACTGATAATAGGACTAAAATGAGAAAAATTGGAAAAAAATTATCGCCTAACCCTAACCAGTTACCCATGTTACGTTCCGATGTCCGCCATCTTGGTTCGCATACTTCGGGAGCACCAAAAAAACTCTTTTCAACTTTTAGTTGTAGGCTCGAAACCCTGCTTTGAGTCAGATTGCAATTCTTGAACAGTTCGTATAATCCATATTTTCCGTTATTTTCATATTTAGTTGAGGGCTTCAAACCTTACTTTGAGTAAATTCGCATCCTTATGATCAATACTTTTTTCACTTTTAGTCACTCCGAGCGAATTTGCATGAAAACTTTCATTCGCCAATGGAAGCCATTTTGTTTATAATTAATTATTCACTTATTTGATTAATGCATCCAAGCATCTTGTTTTGAAACTTTCAATGGTTCTTTTGAATTCCTAGTTGTGAACTCTAAACGTCACTTTCAACATGAAATAAATTCAAACTTGTTCATTTTCCACAGGATCGGCAGTCAGACTTAGATCTTGAGCGGCAAACTTTGGTTCAATCACGGGCCGGTCTCGATGAAATGTTGAATCAGGTTAAAAAGCAACTGAAGCAGGAGGCATTGATGAGAATGGTGAGGAAGAGTTAATATTAATCATGCAGGGTCATCAACTCATAGAAAATTTACTTGGGATTGAAAATATTTGGCAAAAATTATGAGAAATCATGCAAAAACACTAAAAACTGTGAAAAACTTCCAAAAATCTTGTAAAAATGTGCAAAAAACGTGCAAAAACAATGAAAACTTTGACTGCGGCTCCAAACTATGAGAGAATCAAATTTGAAGGCGTAAACTTTTTTGAATGTAAGCCTTCTTTATTAATAGACTGTTAATATTAACTCTTGTAAATTTAATGCGTTCTGAGTTTTAGTAGGACTTATTATTACTCCCTTAGTATGTGTACCGGGTTAGGGTTAGCCCATAATTTTATTCCAATTTTTGTTATTTTAGTCCTATTACGAGTTCGGGGACTGTCTGTGTTAGCCAAGTGAATAACCCCCTGTACATAGGTTTAAGTCCTTTTACACAACTTGATGTAAATTTGGCGAACAAAATTAGTTACCTCCATATTGGTACACATACTTCTGGTGCGTCCTTTTATCGCCATCATTGAAAGTCTTCAATGCGTAGGGATGCGCAATTCTAACTTGGAACATGAACAAACTTAGATGATATTTGACAAAAATGAATTGCACTTCCGAAAATCGCAGCTCTGTACTGCTTGTCCAAAGCCTTGTTTATATCACCTAAAATCAGTAACCCCCCCTCCCCCTCCATAAAAAACCCTTCACCTTTGTTTATTTATTATCCAGGAAGTTGAACGGGAACTGGAATTACAAATCGGTCTCAAACAAGAGATAGAAGTCGCCATGAAGCTTTTGGAAAAAGATATTTATGATAAACAGGACTCGCTCGTCATATTACGAGAACAACTCGACAATGTGAAAGGAATTAACATTGATATTTATAAGAAATTACAGGTATACTTATTAACTTGCGCTTCAACTACCATCAATTTGGTTTTTACTTCGACTACGTCTATGCCAGTGGTTCTCAAACGGTTGAGATTGCCCCACAAGAGGGGGCGTAGACAATTTATTGGGTGCTCCCGAAGTATGCGAACCAAGATGGCGGACATCGGAACGTAACATGGGTAACAGGTTAGGGTTAGGCGATAATTTTTTTCCAATTTTCCTTATTTTAGTCCTATTATCAGTTCGAAGACTAGCCAAGAGCCTCCCGTAGTATTTATACATAAAATTATGGCCTAACCCTAACCTAGTACACATATTACATTCCGATGTCCGCCATCTTGGTTCGCATACTTCGGGAGCCCCATTTATTGAGGGGTGTGAAGTTTATTGAAAAAAGATGTTCGTTAAATTTTATCTTGCCAGCCTTATTTGGAAAATTTACATTTCTTTATTTTGAATATTAACGTTCCATCTACAAATTTTCAACGTGTTCTTTGAATAAAACATGCTTTCACCTCACTGTCTGTTATTCATCGATTTTTTCTAGCTTTTTTTTTTGAGGCGGGCGTGTGGTCTAATTTGTCTTTCTGCCTCCCATGATACATATAAAAACCCAACTTTTTTCAATTGAAATGGTTGTTTTCTGATTTACTAGACAGTAATTTACAATGAAGTCTGAATTTCTAATGATTTTGTTGCAGGACAAAACAGACACGATCGAAGCAAAAACGAAACAAATCACAGATTTGGAAGAGGAAACGAAACGATTGAATGCTGAAGCAGGAAAACTGAAAGAAAAGTAAGTAGCCAGATTTTGAAAATTCAACTTAAGGGGGAGAGGAACGCTGGTAAGACTGCTTTTTCATGTGGGGACCACAGCGCCTAGTTACCAGTCTCGTTGGAATAAATTATAAAGTAGCCCAGGCTTCTCGAACTTTTAATCTTGCGACCCCTTCAAACTAAAAGTCTAAAAAAGTACAATAGATGTAGTACTATTTGTGAAATTGGTGAACTCTTTGCGACCCCTAAAATTTGTGGCCCTAGAAACAGAATCCATACATTTCTTAATTCTCTGAAGTGAAAAAAATGTTTTTTTGTGTATGATTGTACTGAAAGTTTAATAGGTAACTCTGCACAAAAGTTATGTTCTCTTTTGAAATTGTTTCAAATGCGCTGGATTATTCTTTATTGGGGGGTGGGGGTTCCCCCTGCAGTAGGATCCTGCAGCATCCCAATCAATTGCATGCTTTTTTAATTTTGTTATTTTTCAAATTAATTTCACAAACCTTTTTCTATTTTATTTTTTCTCTCTTCTGCCTTATTCTTGATTTCTCTCCTTTTTTGTAAATTCTCTCAAATTAGATTTTGTTCTGAGTTAGAGAGAGTTGACTTGCGAAGAGTAGAGCTAGGGCTAACATGACGAGTTATTTGTCGTGGGACTTTATGAAAAGAACTGGCTTGTGTACACTTGGTGGCGCTCCGCAGATTTACTAAAATCATTATTGCGCTGGCAACAGTATTTAGGTCTAATTGAAATTGTTAATGTTACACAACTGTGCACTGAGGCAGGAAAAATGTGTATTACTCTCAGTGTTGCGATGGCATAGAGAAGCGTTTTCTCAATGGGGGCTCGTGGCCTATCGAAGGAGCCCCAGAACAATAGTGGGGGTTGGGGCAATATTAATTTTTCTTTAAATGTGGCAATTTAAAATGTATTGTATCTCGCAACATGCAAAATTTCTGGTATTGTCTCGTAGAGTGACTTGGAATAGCCCATGTGTGTTGTTCTTGAAATTGTATAAAACAGGGACAGAAAGATCATTTTAGTGCACTTGGGGACAATTTTTTGAGGGGATGTGAAGCTAATTATAAATAAAAATAATTGTTAAATTTTATCTTGTCCCGTTGCCCGCCTCGTTTTGGATATTTACACATCTTTTCAATGTTTTTGTTCAATCTGTTATTTGGGGCTTATTGTAAGCTAGTTATTTTTGAGGTGGGGTGCGAAACTTGACATATTTTAAAAATGGGACGTGGCTTAAAACGTTGAGAACTATTGTTTTAGTGGGTCATAGACCTAAGTGTATTGATCCCCCATTTGAAGACATTTGGTGTTGGCCGTCTATTTGAAGACATTTGTGTTGGCGCTCCATTTGAAGATATTTGGTATTGGTCCTCCATTTGAAGACATTTGGTGTTGGCGCTCCATTTGAAAACATCAGATCCAACATACCCACCAGACGCTCATATCTTGCATTCATATTCATAAAAGTATTTTTTTTATCATACTATTACTTTCTTTTTAAAATTTATCAGCTGGTGAATTGTTATCGTTGTTTTTCATCTGTTTCTGACGTTTTCGTAACCATTGATAACTATCAAAATATATGTCACATCGTCAAAAAGATTTTTCCTATTATTTAATGCGAAGAAAGTCTTACAGTGGTGCCAAAATGACCATCAATAGAATTTCTTAAAAGTTGTGGAAAGGTGGCCGTTTATTTTGCTGAATTTACATATACGGTGATAACTCTTAGTCGAACATAATTCGTTCTGGATTGGATAATGTAATTCACTGCATTTGCATATTCAATTCGAAATTTGGCAAGAAAGAATTATACATGTTTTGTAATACCTGGGTGAGGGCGCATTTATAATTCTACAGCAAACAGCAATATAGACAATTTGGAAAGCTGGTAGTTTTGTTTGTCAGTGAGGTGAAATACTTTTTCTTGAACCTAGAGACAGCAGCTGAGGTAAAAATTATTGCCTACAAGGTATCGATCTGTATTCGATGATGAATTTGAGCTAGAGTTTGGTATAGGTCAGGGGTGGCCAACACGTCTATCACGATCGACTGGTCGATCGCCACCTCTTGAGCGGTCGATCGCGTATGATTTTGAGTGAGTTTAATAACATTCCCCCAAAATATGGTCGTGATCCAGTTGAGTGTTTTGAAAAAGGATGAGTACAGTATTGTACATCAAATTAACAAACTAAATGTAAATGGAACATGAAAAATACAAATTTTGTATCGATTTTATTAGGAATACCGGTACGTCCACAAAGCTGAGCTTATTGGCAGCGGTGGATTTTTTGTATGCGCGTGTGCAGTTATCTGTATATTTAGTACTCATTCGTTTTGTATGACCTTATTACCCATCAGTCGATCGCGAGCTATTTTGAAGATTTTAGTCGATCGCGGTCGAAAACAGGTTGGTCACCCCTAGTAAAGATTAACTTAGACTTCAAGACCCTTCTACTCGATTTAATTTTCTTTTTCTTACTTGCTATATTTTTAAGTTTTTTTCCTCTTATTTTCATATTCCTTCCGTAATATTTACCTCAAAAATCACCCAAATAAAGGTTTTTTGTTTTCAAGTTTTTTTTATCTTTTCTCTTCCCACTTTTGTGAACGTTTCCCAGGATCATTGAAGCGAATCAACAACTAGATGTCGCTCTAGAGCGGGCAGACAGATTCTCACAGAACTTGGATGATTCAGAAAAACGAAGGTATGTAGGAGGATTTACATATTTGTCCTGGGGAAAAAAAAAACGGCTACGTGAACCACCGTATGGCAGTTAGGAGTCCAGCAATTCTGGGAACCTCGAACCCACACAGGGTAATCGGCCGTGCGGTGACGAACATATTCCCGACTCCTAGCACGATACACCACACTGCCGAGTCTTGTCTTGCATATTTTTAAAAAGTAATGGTGCAAATTTATTATAACTTCTCCACCATAAAAAGAAACTGAAATGAGTTAGCTGTTGTTTTGAATTTTTTTAAGGAAATCTGTCAGCAGAGAAAGGTCACGCACTGACGCACACAGTTTTTGCTCCCCTATCCCTGCGGTGCCCATGGCTGCCACACCCTAGATACGCCATTGCTCGCGATCTTTGTCTGAAACCAATAAATATCTGCCCCTACAGAAGTTGTGGTGCAATAGTTTATACGGAGTCTCGTTCAGAGTTAATGTATATAAACGTCTCGTGCAAAATTCAAACTTCTTTTTTTGTGATTTGTTTCGCAGAAGCGCACTGGAGACAAACATACAGATTGAGAGAGAATGGAGAATCGCTTTGGAACATAAGGATGAAAAAGCTATCAAACAGGTATACCGGACACAGTGGCCTAATTGTTAGAGCCATGGTTCTGACCAGGGGCGGAGCCAGGAATTTACAAACGGGGAGGGGAGCCGCGGGCCAAAAATTTTGCCCACCTAGACTGGCGGGCCATGTGAATGTGACGTGAAATGTTACAGTTTATGAACAATAGGCCTACTCACAGTGCTACAAAAGCAAAAATGGAAAACACTAGGCCTCATGCCAAAACTAAATTTAATCGCAATCTCAACAAATTCCTTGAGCTATTTTTTATCTAAAATTTTGTTTTAGATAGGTTGTGGCAGCATCAGGCGGGCCAAATTGAGTTACCCAATGGGCCGGATTTGGCCCGCGGGCCGTACTTTGCCCACCCCTGCTGTAACAGCTAATAGCAGGTTTCCAAGAGTCTTGGGGAGTTAAAATGTGTTCCAAGCTACGAAAAATGTATGATACAGAAAACTTTTTTTTTCTCTACATTTCAAAAGGGAGGGTTTCCACCCTTTAATAAGTAAACAGGGAAGCCCCTGGGTTCCCCTCTTTGAGCCCTGGGGCTCCCTATGTATGGAGCACTCTGAGAAACTATGGCATAGGTAATGCTGTAAGAATCTGGACGCAGTGGGTCCAAATAAGGTACTCCCGAAGTATGTGGACCAAGATGGCGGACATCGTAACGTAGTATGTATACCAGGTTAGGGTTCGGTCATAATTTTAGGTACAAATACTACAGGAGTCACTTGGCTAGTCCCCGAACTCGTAAAAGAACTAAAATGAAGAAAATCGAATTATGGCCTAACCCTAACCTGGTACACATACTACGTTCCGGTATCCGCCATCCTGGTTCACATACTTCGATGTACCCCAAATATTGCCTTCTTACATGTAAATCTTTTCTAGATAACTCAACTTGAAACTGAACTATCAATGATGCAATTGTTGCGTCAAGAACTAGAGCAAGTTAAAAATGATCGAGATGAGCTGAGGTCGACGTGTGAAGAACAGGAGAGCACGATTCATGACCTTGCGGATAACCTTGGAAAGTGAGTAAAGTCAAAGTAATTTTCTCAAACTTAAAGCAAATTAGTGATCAACCAAATGACTGATGCTGACTTCTGGCAAAATTTTACATTAGTCCATGGAGCCGAAGGTTGCCGACCCCTACTTTAATATCTTGATTCCTTCTAAGAAACTGGAGAAAATTTAGTTAACATTTGAACTTCTGTTTGTGCATGATTGTACCCAAAAGTTCCAGCGATATGGGACGCTCCCCATAACAGTGGTTTATAAATGGTGGGGCGTGTCCCCCATTTTTTGAGGCGCGTGAAGCCAATTGAAAATATTTATTAGATTTAATCTCGTCCGCCTTATTTTGAACATTTTCACATACTTCCACTTTGCTATCTGTTATTGTTAGCTAGATAGGATAGGATTTACATATTTATCCCGGGGGAGAGGAAAGACGATAAGACGGCTTAATCATATGGCGAACCATGGCCTCTCGTCTGGTTACCATTCAGAGTCAGGTATGGGATTAGTTATATTGTTTGTTTTCGTAGGCATGGACTTGGTGATAGAGGAAGCCGTAACCGACCAGCGGTTACGTGAACCACCCAACGACGGCGAGGAGTCCAGCAATCCTCTCGCACATAACCATCCCTGCATGGAATTCGAACCTGCGAACCCACGCAGAGTAATTTGAGGTACTGTGGGCGGTGGCGAGCGTATTCCTAACGCTTAGCCCGTTGAGCCACACCGCCGCGCTGTGGTATTTTTTAGGTGGGGTGCAACTTGACAAATTCTGGTGTGTGGCCTAAAAAGTTTGGGAAACACTAATCTAGAATATGTTTTGAACGGCCTTGGTTGTTTTTTCGGCAGTCACCCTATACATTTTGCATTCAATTCTATACCATTGCACATGATGTCCAAAAAATTTTACTCGATTTTATAGAGAAAACAATTTCGACATTCTTTCCTAAGTGATTCAAGAGTCTTGCTGCACACTAACACATATATTTTTGTAAGCTTTCGTCTGACCAAGGTCAAACTTCTTCAGACAAGCATAGTTCACCTCGGTCAGACGAAACGTTACAGAAATATATATGTGTTAGTGTGCAGTAAGACTCTTGAATCACTTAGGAAAGAATGTCGAAATTGTTTTCTCTATAAAATCGAGTAAAATTTTTTGGACATCGTGTGCAATGGATATTTTTTTGACTTCACAGATCAAAGGAAAAATTTCAAGATTTGAAAGACGTTCATAAATCATTTGCTGAAAAAACATGGGAGAAAGATAGGGAAGTGAAGAATTGTGCTCAGTGTGATAAGCCTTTCAGTTTGGCAAGGAGAAAGGTAGGGGGGGCATTGATTTGTTCATTTTTTTATTGAGGGGGGGGGGGGGGTTAGGGACCCGAGTCATCATATGTCAAGACTTAAAGTGGCTCAAGCCATTTGAATAAAATGACCTATATCCGGGGGTGGGTAGGAGTTTTGGACTAGGCAAAATTGTTGCCCACCTAGACTGGCGGGCCATGTGAATGTGACATCAAAAGTTACATTTAATGGTGCTCCCGAAGTATGTGTACCAAGATGGCGCACAACCTGAACATATCATTGTACCAGGTTAGGGTTCGGGTTGTGCGTCAACTTGGTACACATACTTCCGGAGCGCCCATTTAATGAACAATATTTCCAGTGTTACAAAATAATAAGCCCTGTGCCAAAACTTGATTTAATTGCAATCTTAACAAATTCCTTGGGCTATTTTTCAGCCAAAACATCAAAATTCGGCTTTAGTTTAGTTGCGGCGGGATCAGGCGGGCCAGATTGAATTATTCAACGGGCCGTATTTGGCCCATGTTAGCTCATATCCAACCAAACGACTCTACTGTGCGATGAACTCAACTTGGGGTTTAGTGTCTTGATTTTTTTCTTAATTTTAAGGGGTATTCCCCTTTCTTTACTTCAAAGTCTTCGATTTATTAAGAAATAAGGAAGGAACCTATTTTTTTGTTGGGGGGGGGGGGGGGGGGGTCCCAACTCTTGCTGTGGACAATTTCTAACCAATTCTGTTTTAAAAATAAAGCCTTTGGGGGGGTATCCTTTGTTATATAAGTGTGTGCGCCTGGATGTCATGATATGTTTGGAATAAACTTCGGAGGCAATTTTTATGGCAATCTTTATAGTTTTTGCACACATATGGGTAACCTGGTACACACACTACGGAAGTACCTTTCATTCACCTTATTTATGCATTTCTAAAAAACTTCAGGATAGCTTTGTCAGCTTTGAGAGCCTAATTTCGCAATAAAATTATTGACACAATGCACCAAACCCTCCCTATGCACCTAATTATCCATTTCATTTATTTTATTTACAGCACCATTGTCGGAACTGCGGTCAGATATACTGCAATACCTGTAGTGACAACACCATGCCTCTTGCTTCCTCTGCTAAACCTGTGAGAGTCTGCGACTCCTGTCACACTGTACTACTTCAAAGATATTCAGCTGCTACTCCATGATTTTTTGATTTGTTTTTTTGCGAAAATTTAATTTCTATATATATTTAAAGCAAAGCTCTGGTGTATGGTAAATTACTATTTAATATGTCCATCACAATGATGGCAAAATTGCAGCTAAATATTAAAGGAAATGTACTATATGGCCGGCGCAAGAAATATAAAAACCATCAAAATTTGGTGTGGAATATCAGCCTTGTAGAAAATTTGAAAATTAAAAATACTTCCAATGATTTTGATTATTTTCGGTAATGATTCTTTTAAAAAAGAAGACAACGGAGTTGACCACATTCAAATAATTAAGGCTCAGTTTCAAAATTAATGACAGATGTTCATGACTGAGTAATAATTTGGAGAAAAATGTGTAGGGTTTGTGACTCCTGTCACACGGTTCTACTGCAAAGATATTCAGCTGCTGCGCCATAAATTTAAAGTCAATTTTTCTATTGATATCAAATTTCTATATATATTTTTAAAATGCTCAAATTATCTAAATTTAGGGTAAAATATTGGACTCCAGAAAATTGGAGGGAATGTCATATAAACGTGTGCTCTTGAATCATAAACCAGACAAAATTGAGGGTAAAATATCGGGCTCCATAAAACTAAAGTAAATAAAGTACAAACCCTTCTCAAAACTTTTTTATCTCCTATCTCCATAATATAAGGCAATTTCGTTAATATTTTTTTTTGAACTCAGCTCCTATTCATATGTATTCAAAAAAAAAATTAATGCCACTAAAAATCATATTTGACTAGTTATAGTCTTGAAATTAAAAACGTAAATTTATGACTGACTGCTCATGGACAGTAGAAATTTGGAGAAAAAACGGTGAAAACTTTAAAAATATTTGAATCTGTCAACATGCACTCAGACTTCAAGTTTGGTTAGTTGTTCGACATTCACTCATAACTGAGTCTCAACAGTCAACACCTGACTTGAGTCATAATCTCGATTTATTTTGCTACATTACTCGGTCTGAGCATTTTGAACGAGCCATTTCATCAACTTCTCTCAGACCTCGTGCGATTTTCATATATTTTTTCGGAATTACTAAACACTCAAATTATAATAAGTGATTTAATACATAGTCTAGCTAGGCACTCAGATTGAGTCTTGAGTTATCACAAGACTCTTAGTTGTTCCATAAATACAAAAAGTTCTCCATATTGATTATTTTTAATTTTTTGTTCATTTCTAAAATCCTTTAAATGTGTAAGTAACAAATTATTTGTTCTGTGCTTGATGTTCTTGTATTTACTGATTAATTTAAGTTTCATTTTGATCCCTGTGCAATTTTATCTTCATTTATTTTGTTGAATTATATCGTTGTAGAGTATTCCTGCTTAATCAAGCTTGACAGTCAGATATCGTGACAAAGCAGTAGAGCAGCCGTTACCAACCCGGTAGGGCTGGGCATTTTCAAAAACCTTATGATTTCAGAATCTAATATTTTTCTCGAATCGAATCTTGAATTATTGGGAGATATATAATTGGGACCTCCAGAAGTATGCGCACCAAGATGGCGCACAACCTGAACATAGTAAGCGCGTACCGGTTATGATTCAGGTTGTGCGACATCTTGGTGCGCATAACTGGAGCACCAATAATTGTATGCGACTTTTTTCATTGTAATTGGTCCTGTCAACAAATGAATTACTGAAAACATGGAATACACCACTCAGACAGATTGCTGAGCGTTCACACGCAATAAGAAACCCGTTTTATCAATAACTCACTACAGAAAATAGCCATATGCTCAAATTGCGTTGAAAAAATATGGCTTCAATAAAAAAAATGAGGAATTCACCTCGAACATTGGCGAAAATGAAAAAAAACAAGATGGCAGCGATTACCATTTTGAATAATTCTATATTAGATTCAAAATGCCCAGCATTAAAACTGGGGCCCACCAAGAGGGCTACAGAGCTGTTGGAGCGGGGCCACAAGGCCAGACACAGAACTTATTTTACCTTCCCCTTTACGAGAGAACTCTCCGTTCTTTCTAGTTTTATAGCTTGATAAGGGTATTTCGCGGGATATTTTCATTTTGTTGGGCGTGAATTGTTTGAACATAATGGGATTTGGAATCTACCAATCATAATAACTCTACAAACTAGAATATCGGTCGGATACCGAAGACTGATCATTCGAAAGTTAGGGGATCCCCCATCCATTCACTCTGATTCTATAGTGACCCGCGTGTCCCATCACTAATTAAATAATAACTCTTAAATTATACGACATAATTCATCCAAAATCAATATAGGCTTCCTAGCTATGATGAACGCACATGTAAAATTTGGAGCAGATTCAACCTCGCTTTTGTGAGATATCGCGTGCATCTAACAAACATACAGACAAATACCTATCGACATACTTACCGATCTTAAGATAGATAAGTAATAATACTGGAATGACTATGAGTGCTAAAAGCCTCCGGGGTTGGGAACCACTGCAGTAGAGGATTACTCAACTCTCATAAACCAGTGATTCTTAAACTCTGATGATCACTTGATCTAATGGTCCCCTGATCTCTTATTGAATCGTCCAGTTTTTGCTTTGTAGCGCTTTCCCTTCAGTCATTTTTGGACACCGCGTTTAACAATAAAACGGGCGATTCACATTAAATGAATGTAGTCATCGCAAATGACTTTGCTAGTGGTCACCTGACCCTAAGATTATCTGAGGTCGTCTTAACATTATGATGGAGGGAACCTTCACCGACCAGCGGTTACGTCAACCACCCTCGACTGCTAAGTGTCCAGCAATCCTCTCGCACAGAATTATCCCCACGAACTGATTATAACATGCAAACTCATGCAGGGTGATCAGAGGTGCGATGGCAAGCGTATTCCTGAGGCGCAGCACGATGTGCCTGGTGATGATGCTGGTGTCATACACGCATGAGCAGTGGAAATACAAATAGTATAGTAATAAATGCGGACACAAAATATAAGGATTCCCGTGTTGCGTCTTGACGAGCATGAAGCGGAGGCAGATCGTTATACCCTTACTGGGCGTATCCGGGGTATGGTAGCCATGACTCTTGCAATAAGCGGCTTTGTGATGAGTTTAAATCGTAAAATGTTTCAATAAAATAATTTCAAATTAGAAATATTGAACTCGTATTTGCGCTTAAATAATACCATAGACTCATAGAGGTATTTCAATTCAACAATAATCGTTGAAAATTGTCAACCAACAAGCAAGAGCCATTTAAGTAGATACGTTACTGCACAAAAGACTTAAGTCCCTATGGGATCCCAATAAGACGTTCAACATTTCTACGCCGCAGATCAAAATAGCCTTGATAAGCATCGTTTGATGGTAATGTGCTGGAATGTTTATTCATTGACAATTAGGCGCTACTGCTTAACACGGAGAGCGTGGCTGTGGAGTCCGACTTTCGCATGTTAGGAAAATGAGTTTATTTGGAATTAGTAAACCAGACGATAAAATAGTTGATAAAAACAAAGCAATAAAAACTGATTATGAAATCAGGAGAGCAAACAAAACCTTTAGTAAATTTCATAGCGTACAGAATTTAGGTTTGGAGGTTTTGCCAGTGAAAGTGGTACATGTTCACTCGCCTAAAAGATGTTAAATTAATTCACACGCACGCACAACCACGGAGATATAAGGAAGTAGGAAACATGCGAGAATGTTTCAATAACAAACTAAATCAATAAAAACAAGAGAGCTATGCTCAAATATATGGACACGTAGCGCCACCCAATGGCAATAATTTTGATGACGTCATAGCAAAAAAAAATAATAGCCTTCTGGAGAAAAATTTTATCTTCAACCACTGAAAATTTCAAAGCAATTGGTCCAGTATTCGAAGAGAAAAGCGATTTTTTAAAAATGGAGACGGAGACAAATAACAACAAGAGAGCTATGCTCAAATATATGGACACGTAGCGCCACCCAGTGGCAATAATTTTGATGACGTCATAGCGAAAAAAAAAGTAATAGCCTTCTGGAGAAAAATTTTATCTTTAACCACTGAAAATATCAAAGCAATTGGTTCAGTATTCGAAGAGAAAAGCGATTTTTTAAAAATGGAGACGGAGACAAATAACAATAACAACAAAATTTTGAAACGATCGTTATGTCCACTAAACGTGTCCAAAAATGTTGAGATGAATAAACTGAAAATTGTTTACCACCGTCATATTAATAATTTTATAACAATTGCCAAATTGAATAAAGTTTTGTAAACAAGAGTGGACAGTGACGAAACATATTTGTTGAAAAAGAAAGTAGCCTATGTATGCATGTATGAATAATACCAACTTGGGTGTTTTTGCTATAAACCTGTTTATTCACGACATATGATTGAACAACAACCACGTGCGATTCGAATTATTATAAATAAAGACCGTCATTACATGTTATTTTGTTCGAATATCAGGCATAATTGCCGTGTGAGTCAGCACCTACATTGTATTGGAAACGACGCATATTTGTTCAATTAATAACAGAGACCAAATATTTTCGGGAAATTTATGTGAATGAATGATTATTTATTTAGTATGCGTTGTAATACTAGTACGTAATAGCGTTAAAAAATATATTGTGACAGACAATGTCTGGATTTGAGACAACAAAAGCGTAGGAATGTAGACCTGAAACATACGACGAAACATACAGATATGGCAGAGGCCAATTGTGGATTAATTATAGAGCCTTCTTCGAAAACGCCATATATTCGAATAAATAAATTCGCTAAGCATTTTGACTATATACACAAGGTAGTATCTCGTTTCTCGCGACTAATAATTTTCCCATCATTTCATTATTTGATTCTGATTATTTTAGGTTACGAGTTATGTCGGAATGCGGAAATATATCCTAACCAATACTATTCTTGGGAAAACAGACATAAAATTTAGTGTCAGGGCAATAACAATATATAACCTTATGTTAACAAATTGTGAGTTTGAGTCAGAGCATGCGTACAGTAACTTTACACATTTTATTCAGGCTCTCAAGTGCCTTTCTTTAAGCAAAATAAGAACTTGAGGTCATAAAAATGCAAGAATGTTATGCGCACTACATCAAAATTGCGACATTTTATGTTTTCAATACGACATACATCCGACAATTAAGTTTCTATTCAAAATACCAGCGCATTTTCGATACTAATTCCACAACTAACCGAATAATACAGACAAATTACGCGAGGCTGGTTTCTCCCGTTTCGAGAACAACAGTTTAACGATGGCCTATGACGTCATACGCAAGCGTGTCTGAGGCTTTTAAAAACAAGTTAAGCCGTAAACAGCACGTACACAGGTCATAGCTGCGCAAGGCTAGCTTATGCACGTGGAGTTAGATAAATTAGTTTTCCGAAATTGAATGTTTCAGCGAAGGGAATGCTACTTTGTATTTGCGCGTATTGTTACCTTTTCGGTATTATTGTGATGCATATATATGTGCACACATTAAAAACTATTAAAACTGTATAAAAGCCAGAGTGCGAGTTATACGTATCATTAGCTTATGATCCATTGAGGTTTGAAAATCTGGACAAAAGGACGGGGTTTTATACATATGAAGAAGGAATGAGGAGTTTCAAAAGGCAGGAATGTACCAAGAATAGTTGGGAACCATTGTACCAGTTTCGGTACTATCGTGATATTGCGCAACGGCTGAATTTTCCAGGTTATGATGAGTTCGGAGGTGTTAAAATAATTTTATTTTTTAGGAAAATCGATGCTAAGCATAAATAATTTAACCAATCTAACTTACCCTAAACGGATAAGAAGGTGAACAGACCAGAAACTTAGTAGTGGGGCAATAAAAGGATTGTTCCGCAGGTTCAAACAAGGCTGCATGACTTCCGTATGATAAAATTGAGTACGATTCCGACCACGCCACTAGTAATATTCATTGAGGCATGACTGATCAGAATAATCGCATGCTATAATAATAAAGTCGATGCTGTCACTTCTCTCTAATTGGTTTTTCAGTGTTTCTCTGCTTAGAGTCAAACAGAGCGGTCAAGTTTATTTTTTCCAACCATTAAAAAAAACACAAATTACGAGAAAATGATAAATACATACATTTACTGGGGAAGTCGCGGGGAACTAAATCTGATTATCGCGCAGCGACACCCGAGGTTTTAATAGTTAATTTTGAATGAAAAATTCAGTAAGTTACTAGTTTATTTATGGTAGAAATTAGGATCCAGATCTTGAGTTCAAGTCACAAGCAGATGGATGGCTTGTTCGGCAATAATTTTAATTAAATAGCACTCTCAGCGCACACTGCGCGTGGTTGACGTGAAGTGGAACAAAAGCGCCAGTCAGCCAGTAGTTTATGTTATCACAA